TGTGTAAAATAGAGAAAAAAATGTAATTAATTAAAAGTGATATCTTAATCCACGAATAAGAAGCCACTGAATTATTGTAACCAACAAACAAAAAAAAAAAAAAAGAAAGAAACTATTGAACTACTACAAAAGAAAATTTTATAATGGCTAAAACAACTTTAATTTGACATTAAATTATCATCATCGTTGAGATAACCAATCCTAAAAGTGATTTTAACATTAAAGCCATTAATAGTCTTTTTTTTAACATTAAAGTCATTTTAGTTTTTGATGAACACATGGAAATTAGTAGGGAGTTTTTTTAGTAGGGCAATTCTACTGATAGTGTTAGTTTCTGACTATTAGATCATGTCAAAATCACATCAGATCATTAAAAAAGTACAAGTAATTTTTTATACAAATCTAATTAACCGCTGAAACTAAAAAACTATTAATAATTTTTTTTGATAAGAATGTCTCCATTTCGATTTCAGGCAGTATTTATCCAATTTATTTTGCCAAAAATTTCCTGTGCATGTCGTAGTCATTAGGTGAGATATGTCTTGAAATTTGTCAAAGAAAACCTAATCCATAAACATTTATATTATGCGTGTAAACAAAGTAATACTTTTCCACTCGTTTTTTGAGCTCACTACCCACACGAAATGGTTCTATACTCTACCAACCATATCATGATGAAGATTCGAATTCTTCCATCTCATTATTTAGTGCGCAAAAGTTACTACCACTATGTGCATACAGCTGGTATACAAACATGTACATTTGTGTGTATATAATTAATATATATATATATATAAAGAATTTATTTATTTATTTATTTATTTTATGTGTGATCACTAGACCAAGCTATGTTAAGCAAGTTTATTTGTATTGGTGATTTAAAAAGAAATATTTTTTAATATATATCTAATTTAAACCTAATTAGATTCCAAAAACCTAGAACTTTGATTTCATTGAAAATTTAAAAACACAATTTTCGCTCATGCTCCAACTGTTTATATTGATTAATAATATCTAACAATACATAAAAAAATCAAAACCTTTTCTTTTAAATCAAAACTTTTTTCTATACGGCTACCACGTGACAGCCCATCTATTTTTTTTTTGCTTTTTTTATCTTTATTCTTTTGTGATTTTTTTTATATTTTAATTTTTTTTTGTGTTTTTTAAAAATATATTATTCCTCACTTTATTCTTATGAGAGTAATTTTTTCGCATGTGATCCTATTTTATTTTTAGTTGGTTAAAATATTTTTTTTCAAATGCCTCACTTATTTTTTTGGGTCAATTGTTATCTTTTTTTTGTGTTTTTTAAAAATATATTATTCCTCACTTTATTCTTATGAGAGTAATTTTTTCGCATGTGATCCTATTTTATTTTTAGTTGGTTAAAATATTTTTTTTCAAATGCCTCACTTATTTTTTTGGGTCAATTGTTATCTTTACACACATTATTTTTTAAAATAAATTCAAAATTTCTTAAATGGTTGTATAAAATGAATTTTTCATTATTTAGTAAATAATAAACTTTTCAGTTATTTCTAACTGGACAATGTGTGTGGAGTACGTTATAAAACTAAGTAGAGCACGTTATAAAACTAATATAAAGAAAAAAATATATATATGATGCACTTCTTTCAAAAAAAAAAAAAAATTGGGTCGAATATTGCAGTGGGTTTTCATAACCAAAATATCTTTGACACAAGATAATTGTCTAACCAATAGGGTAATTAAAAAAAAAAAAAGAAAATTAAGGGCTTATATATATTGGTAAACGAGAGAAACTTATTCTGTACTATTTCTCTAGGCGACTAAAAATCTCTCTTACATACTTCACACACCACTTATTTCTGCATATCAAATTAATTAACTTTCCTTCCATATGGCAAAAGACCAAATTACTAGTAATTCCATCAATATTCCACCATTTTCACTTGTGAAGAAAGATGTTGAGCTCGTTAAGCCCTCAAAACCTACACCTTCAGAAATTCTTTCTTTCTCCTCCATTGACAATCTCATTGGCCTTGAGACCCTCACTCCAACCATCTTCGTCTACCAACCAATTAACTCTTATAAATCACACCCGTCTGATCATGATCATGAAAACATCAATAATAATAATAATGACCATCATGATGATCAGCTGCAGGACCCAGCTGAAGTGATCAAAGAAGCGCTTTCCAATGCTCTTGTTTACTACTACCCTCTAGCAGGAAGGCTCAAACGACAACAAGACGACGGAAGGCTCAGGCTCACTTGCAACGCAAACGGCGTGCCATTTTTGGTCGCGACGGCGGACTGTTCTCTCTCGTCTTTAAATTACTTTGACGGAATTGACATCGAGATCGCTAAGGAATTCATCTTTGCTTCTCCGCCGAGTGACTGCCCTTTAGTTTTTCAGGTGAGCAAGGATGCTTACATCCTGAAAGATTTCATTATGAAAATCACAAGTCCACGAGTGTCAAAATTTATCTTGAATTTGTAACCTGAAATTGTGTGTCCGTCCGAATTTTTTACAGTTTGTGCACTTTAAAATTTTTGTCAGGGATAAAATCATTTTAGCACCTGTGTTATAGCGAAATATATTTTTAATATTTTGTGTTTTTAATAATATTAAAACGGTACCATAAAGTTTTTAAAAATATCTTCTTAGTATGTCAGGGATAAAATCATTTTAGCACCTGTGTTATAGCGAAATATATTTTTGATATTTTGTGTTTTTAATAATATTAAAACGGTACCATAAAGTTTTTAAAAATATCTTCTTAGTACTATGAAGATAAGTTTTGAGATGTAAAATGACTTTAATGCCCTTATATTTAATTAACCAAAAACTAATGGACGTGTTTGGAACTCATTTCAACATAATTTTATTTTTTGTATGAAAATGAAAATGAAAACGTTTTTAATCTCATACATAAATTATTTTTAAAAATACGTTTGGTAGTTTTATCAAGAGATGGTTTTCAGTAAAAAAAAAAAAAACTCATTAATGTTTCTCTCTTTCTCTCTACTCAAGAGAGGAGAAAACGAAAACAAAAAATGAAAAATGATTAAAAGTCATTTTTTATTTCTCTCTAATTTTACACTAAACTAATTAATCGTTTTAATTTTAATTTTTTATCTTTATTGTGCCAAATGCCATTTTAGAAACGTTTTCATTTTTTATTTCTTGAAAAACGTAAAAAATAAAAATGGGATTAATTCTAAACACGGCCAATAAATCTAGAAAAAAAGTAATAAGATTTTTTATTTTGTTATTTTCTTTTAAATACTTTAATGTTTCAAAATATTTTTAGATTTTTTTCAAAAATATTAATTTCTATCTAATTAATAAGAAGGGTAGACATTATATGTCCTAAAAAATAGTTTTAGGTTACCAAGATGACGTTTTAAAAAACGTCGAGATATTGTTTCAAGATTATTAAAAACACAGAGTACCAAGAGCATAGTTCTTTTTAAAAAACGTCGAGATATTGTTTCAAGATTATTAAAAACACAGAGTACGAAGAGCATAGTTCGCTAAAACACATGGTACTAAAATGATTTTATCCATTTTTGTTATTTGCAAGCTAGACTTAAATTTTTTAATTTCGACTTTTAGGATTGTAAATTTCACAATCATTGGCAACGCATTCTAATCCATACAAGGAGCATCAATTAATAAACGAAAGTTACAGTCCTCAATACCAAAATTAAAAAGTTCAAAGTTCAGCTTGCCGGTAACAAAAAGTTTCCAGCACATTTTGTGCAAAATTCGTGGACCTTTCCATCCATTATTAACCTATTAGCTATTGGAAGTTGGAACGCAAATGCAACAAAGTTTCAAATTTTATAAGGTCATATTTATCAGCATTAAGTTTAGGTGCACCAATAAAATATATATTTTTTATATTTTATTTACTCCTAACACTTAACAAATTACATTTTAGTTTCCTAATGTGTCAAGAAGCTTTTTTTTTTTTTTTTTCATTTTATTTTTAAGGTCACGAAATTCTTGTGCGGGGGCTTTGCTATCGGGTTTGAAATGTCACACTCAGTCTGCGATGGGTTCGGGGCAACCCAATTCTTTCGGGCAGTAGCCGAGCTTTCGCGGGGTCAAACCGAGCCAACGGTGAAGCCCGTTTGGGAGAGGGAGAGACTTGTAGGGGAACCCATCAATGGTCCTCTCCCATTCCTTGTAGACAAGGGTAGTCTTGCCATTTCGCCTTACTTGTCAACTTCCGAGATTGTGCACGAGTGCCTCTCCATCAAAAGCGAGGGCGTGAAAAGACTGAAAGAGGCCAGCTCTACTGGTTCTAATTCCAATTTCACAACAATTGAGATAGTTGGTGCTTTTGTTTGGAGAGCAAGATTCAGAGCTTTAAAGCTAAACCCAGATGGCAAAACGACTTTCTTCTTGACCACGGGGGTAAGGAAGTTTCTGGACCCTCCATTGCCAGAAGGGTATTATGGGAATGCATTTTTATCATCAACCGCTGAGTTGATGGGGAAGGACCTGAACGAACAACCGCTTATTGAAACTGCGAAGCTGATAAAGGAGTGTAAAAAAGTAGTGTTTGATAAGGACTTTATTAAGAAATCAATAGACACTTTCGAGACGTTAATTAGTCAGAACATGAATGTGAAGATAGAGGCAAGTGGTGCAACTACGGTGTTGACGGATTGGAGGAACTTGGGGTTAATGGAGGAGATAGGGTTTGCGTGGAAACCGGTGAACATAACGGCGTTGCCGTGGAATATGTTTGGTTACGTGGATTTGTGCTTCCTTTTGCCGCCGGCGAAGTCGGATGGCTCTTCAGCGAGAGGCGGGGCTCGGATATTGGTCTCCCTCCCTAGGCCTGCCATGGCCAAGTTCAAGGAAGAGATGGCACCTCTTATTAGTTAAGTATGGAGATGATGTTTGATCTTTCTTTCTTAATTAGTTCACTTTTCTAATAATCTCCTTTTATTGCTTTGACTTAAAGCTGAATTACTGCTTCACGAGTAATAAATATGAGGAACTCTGTGTTCTGTGTGTGTGTGTGAGTGAAAAAACAACCATGATGCAATTATAAAATATTAGACAATTTTCGAATTCTATTAAATTAAGAAAAGTGTAAGGGTTTTAATGGAGTTTGATTTAAAAAGAAGAAATATATAATAGTTCTACAAAATATTAGATAATTTTGGAATTATATTAAATTAAGAAAAGTATAATAGTTTTAATGGAATTTGATTTAAAAAGAAGAAATATATAATAGTTCAGAACTATTATATGATCCTTACTAGTTAATGTTTCTTTCTTTCTTTTTCTTGTTATAATCCCCTTGTTTATTGCTTTGAGTGAAGTTGAATTACCGCTTGAGTAGGTAATAAAATGAGAAAACTCTGTAAGATATGAAAAAGATAAACAGACTAGAACCTATATGCTTGATAAAATGCTAGATTACTTTACAATCATATTATATATAACATCACTTAAGATTATATCATATCTGTATATGTGATGGTTTAGAACTATGATTACGATTAATCTTATCCTAAATATATTACTTTGAAAGACCTTTTAAAATAGTCAATTGAATTCCTATTATCATGGGCGGCCTCATCCCACTAAGGTTAATAATTAGTAGTGATCAGCAGCATTAAAAAAAGAAAAAAGAAAAACCAATTTTGTCATTTTCAATACTATTAAAACCAAATCCATTAATAACGTGGTTTGCATATCAATCATAAAAAGGGCACTTTATGAGCAATCTTCTTTGATAAATTATTGAACATGGACCAGATGTGTTTAGTTCATGTATGGAATATTGGATTTGATGCCGATGCCGGAGCACAAACATTTTCACACCAAATAATTGGACAAGATAAAGAGAAGCCAAGACCAAGTTCTTGAAACAAAAACTGATACTCGTTTACCTCGTTCGAGTTACGAATTTGAGTTGAAAAATGAAATTATATAAGAAAAAATAATGTAGTAGAAAAATTTTATTTTAAAATTTTGTGAGAAAAAATACTGTAACTAAAAGTTTGAGTTGTGATTCGGGTGGTGAAACGAACAAAGGCTATCTGTATATTTTTGGTGCTTGCTTCATCTATAGACATGTACTCTGCATGCCTTGGTATTGATACGAGCCATCTACTTTATGCATTAATCCGAGGAAATTAGTGTTGGAACTTTGGACGGGCCGCCCGTGATTGCCCGAAAAACCAAATTTTTGCCAATTGCCCGACTTGATCCGTCTGAGCCCGAAAATGCTCATGGACGGGCCTCGGGCCCGTATTTGGCTGTCTGAACCCGACCGGGCAGCCCGAGCCCGCCTGAAATGCCCGAATTTTTTTAAATTATTTTTTAATTTTTATAATTATTAAGTTAGTTTGTGTTAAAATTATATAAAACTAAAATCAACACTCAACACACATTATTAACACAATTTAAGGAAATTAATTTTGTATATTAATTTTTAAATTCATAATTCATGATTGCCTCGTTAATAATCTTATCAAGAAAAACCCAATTGGGATAAAAACTTAGAAAGGAAAAAAGAGTGCAATCATTTTGTGACAAATTACAAATTTTACAAACTTATAAGGTTATACAATTACAATGTCAAAAATAAATACATATTTACAAATTACAATTTACAATTTAATTGTTTGGCGGAGTTTGGGTTCGCCAGATTGGCTAAGCTTTTGAAGAAAATTTTCAGAGTGTCTTCTCAAGTGTGTGGTGCCATGAATAGTGTCACCTTATAATTTAAATAAACAATATTTACACTGAGTTATATGTTTAGTGTTACCTTCATTGTCGATCTCATCAATTATGTCGAAGTTATCCCAAACTGTCAAGGTGCGCTTGCATTTCCTCCTGGAGGTTGCAACACTTGCAGACGCAATCGTACTTGCACTCGCCGCTTCTCCACGCCCACCACCATTGCGACCATGACCTCCAATACGCCCACTAGGGCTTGGAGTCGGATTATTAGATTCCTGCGTAACTAATTCATTAGTGGGAAATTGCTCTTCTTCCACGTTGTGTTGGGCATCAACAGGAATACCACTGTAACCAAAAGGATCTATTATAAAAAAATAAGAGCGATTTGAGAGAGAGAGCTTTAGTATTATGTGATAGTTTATAAGAAAAATTTTGGGTTAAAAAATTAATTTTTTTTTTCAAAAAAAAATTGGGTACAACAACTACTTTAGGATTTCGGCGGGTTGGGTTCGGGCAGAAATTTGGGCAACGGTAAAAAAACTAGTCGTTGGACGGGTTTTTAGGCAGTCGAGCAGGTCGGGCAATTCGGGCATTTTCGGGCTTCGGGTAGGGTAGGGCTCCAACGGTCGAATTTTTGACCCTTTTTTGGGTTTTCGGGCATCAGGCAAAATTCGGGCAAATTCGGGCATTCAGGCAATTCGGGCCTGACCGGAAAAATTCAAAAAAATTCCGGCGGACTACGTTGACGGCGACACACGGCGGCGGGCTCTGGCATGATGTCCATTTTCGGGCTGCCCGAGCCCGAAAATTCATCTTTGGACGGGCCGCCAATTGGGCCTGCCTGCCGAGCCTGAAAAATTCGGACAGCGGGCATGCTCGTTGGGCCAAAGTTCCACCACTAGAGGAAACCATTGTGAAACATGGGTCACCTGTTGTTCTTTTTGCTGTAATTATCTCTTTTCTCTGTGCGAAGAATAGAAATGTTTTGTTAATCTCTCTCTTCATTCGTATTTTAAGGTCATGTACATTTTACTGATTTGAGTTTTGCTACAGTAAAAAGTTCTCAGAAACAGTGACATCTAATTTTTTTACTACAGTAAAAAACTATTATATAAAGTCACATCTCAACTTAAATTAAAAATTCGAATCACCGAATTAAACGAGCCTAAGTATGTCATTTCTAGATAGCTAGGTTTGATAGTAGCCTACTTTGGGCTGGGCGTATTATTATACGGTAGCAACGGAAAACCCTTATTGTCCAATTATCAAACAAAAAAAAAAAGGGGGGGG